AGTTACTTATAAAAGTAAATGTGAGTAAACGTAACTAGTATCACCCACCTCTGCTAACAGTATCTCCTTATCTTTATTAGTGTCAACATTGTGCTAGTTAACACAGCTCAGACTATTTTACTATCTCGATGTGATTAAAAGAACAAATTCCACACAGCTAAACTGTTGCTTTTTCTTTCCAATTAGCGCAACAAAGGTCATGTCAAAATACGCTCCAATGTGATAGTGTCTACCCACACGTTTAACCAAATATTTATATCATTTTTTATAATTGGAATGATGTCTGTGTGCCAGCGTCGGTAATTAGTCGTCACTGTAACTTTTTTGTAAACTTTAAAAAGCGCACAAAAATGTTTCCTTTTTTTTTAATCTTGAATGAAATTGTTCAAACTAATTACTTTGGTAGCTTGACACATTTGCTCACATTTTAACAGCTGGGAGTTACAACTTTCTCAACTAAAGCGGTGCACTCATCCGTGGAGCTGACAAGGGGGCGTGGCCTCCATCAATCAATGTCGATAGGCTGAGATGAGAAAACAGTTTAGGCTAAGCTATCGCAGGGCTGTTGACATGAGCGTTTTAATTGAAAGGATTATGAAATATTTGGTAGTAAGTGGGCAAAATGGTGGCAGGACAAAGGAGGCGTTTCGGTGGTGATTTCGAGAGGTTTAATTGAATCTTGAAGTTGATTAGCCGGGTTAACCTCTGACCTTTGGGGGGTCAGAGAGGCCGGGAACTTAATAACCCCGGGGTCACTATCTGTTTCTCTGAAGAGGCTCTGTTAAGTTTAGTCAAGTTTGGCTTCAAGCGTTTTGTGGCGAGCCTGTCAGCAAATAGTCAAGATGGAGGCACCTTCTATACAAAGTAAATGTTAAAGGAATTATAATGGAGTTTTAGCATTAGCAACTGACACTGTCTGTGTGCGGTGGAATTTGGAAGAGATAGGTAGACCGAAGTTGTACAAAAGTAAGAGTAGTTTTACTTCAAAATAATTTCATAAGTGCAAGGAATTTGACAAGAAAAAAAAAAAAAAAACTTTGTAAGAGTTTTCAAGTATTTGGGGAAATACATATTCAAATAATAGTAGCGGAAGTAACATTTTATTTTCATTTAAAGTTAAGGTAATTTCATAAAAGTTAAATGACAAACCAAATTTGGTATTTTCAAAGGCCACACTACAAAAATGAGAAAAACTAAATCATATCTGAAGGAGTGGTCCAAGAAACACAAATGTTCAAATCATTTCAAATTGCCTACATAAAGCATTTTTCTCTTTACTCACAGTGGGAAGACTCAACAAAACTTTGCTCAAGTAGGAGCAATGTTACTTAAATAAAATGCACTCAAACTATTTTGTAACTATAATGCTACCCATTTCTTGGTTTAAGGTTTATATTTCAGTTTAAATTCGAATAAATTCTATAAAAATAAAAGCGCCAGTTATATAATTTACGTAGGGCATGCGCAAAAACGCACCATGCTCCCTCTCAAATATAGACGTCAATACTCATCTTAAACTGTTTATGAAACTATTTAAGATTTTGTTCCTCATCATGTAAAAATATACACTAATATTTGGAAGAAACTGAAAGTGAATCCCAAATATTTACAGCTCAATTTCTCTTATCACACCGTGCGTAAAAGGCTAATTGCTCAGTACGTGCATCCCTAACCCCCTTTACGTAAACCTATCGATCTCCCTCACCCAATCAGCGCCTGCGAGCACGCCTCTGCTCTCCAAACGTGTCCTTTGTTTTCCTAACAATAATAAAGTGCTTTCTGCGCGCCAGAGCCGGGGAAATCGTTACGCAGCCCCTGGTTCGTGTGCGATCAGTAAATATTTAGTGCAGGCGACATCTTCCCGTCTCGTCTTAATCGATCCAAGTCCCCGTTGGGCACCAAAGCAAAGCCGCGGCGCGCTATTGTTGGGTGGAGAGCGAGTGCGTAAAAGTGCTTATACTTCCTACTGCGCTAATCACCCACAGGAAACTTCTTCAGCAGCGAATAAAGACGACTCGGGTTTGGGGAGAATCGCGTGTGCAGGCGTGGGAATGTTTACACGTGTCCAACCAGTCAATTTTCCTCCAGACGCACAGGATTTAAGCAGGTTGGCCAGCTGTGCTCATTACGCGTAAAAGCCCTGTGAAGCTATGTCGTTTTGAGCCCATAGAAATATGTTGTATGAAAATAATAACTTTTCAATAACAAAACAGGTACTCTTAAAAATAGTATCGTGCAGAATTCGCACAATTTTAGCATTTTTAGAATCAATCACATATTCTGAGATTTTTATATAAATAGGCATCGGGTCAGATAGAAAAAGGTAGTGCGTAAAATTAAAAACGTAAGGAGTGTAAGTATTTTTTTAAAGCAATAAAAATTAAGTTCAAAATTATTAAACAATATAATAATAATAATAATAATAATAATAATAATAATAATAATAATAATAATAATAATAATAATAATTTGCTTAAAATAATTAAAATATCAAAATGAACAAAAGTCATTAATGTTTTATCACATTCAAATTTAGCGTGTAATGTTCGTAAATAGAGGTGTTAATTCCACTGGACATAATCATAATTCGCTGGCTGTCAGAATGCATGCTCGCCATACTTAAAGACAGGTGTCTGTTGTGCTATCGCCCCCTCCCTCTCCCCTCGTAGCCCACACAAAGCAGCGGCGAGTGCGCGCGTTTCGGACACATTACTGTAGGAGAGAGAAACGGCGCACTGCACGATCTCCTCCGCGCTTGGCTTGGTTTGGCTCGGCTCGGCTCGGCTCTACCTGACTGCCACTCAGACAGACCCTCCGTATAGCGCGGCACTCCACAGCCTGCCCGTGTCACTGCTCCGGAGCCCGGTAACTCACGTGTGCGCTTCGGTCCCTCATCCCCGGCTACGACCAGCAAAGTTTTGGTGGTGCCAGAGCCGTTTGTGCTTCTCAATAAAAGTGACGGACTTGGTTGTGTCGATAAAGAGAGAGAAGACTATATAGAATTTAAACAGGAGAAGAGATGCATCCCGCTACGGACGAATCAGCGTCGTATGCCTTTGGTAGGTCTGTTGACACCACACAGCCTCGCCTCCTCCTGCCTCTCAAATAACTTATGAATGAATGTGCCTTCATTTACTGTGGGCTAATAAGCTGCGTAAAAGTGGCACGCACGCCCGTAGGCTACATAATTTTGATAGAATGTTTTCGCTGGGGTATTGGTCTCTGCACATGGTTAACGTGACAGCCTCTATTTAATTTATAAAACGCTCGCTTTGTTTACGGATGCAGATGAGTTAAAATAAACCGTTTGCCTTTAGAAAATTAACATAATTCATAGCAAAAAATATACGTACCGAGGTTTGGGAATACGTCGCTCGCTTGTCTTTTTAAAAGTGTCCTCTCCGCATCTGCAATACACCGAGACAAAAACAGTGCGTAAAATGTTAACATGGATGGAAGAATAATAGCTCTAAAATACCACCGCGGAGAAGGCTTCGTGCACGGGGGGCAAAAAGTAAATCCAACTTTGGCAGAACCGTCCCAGCTGCCGCGTAAAAGTGCGCATTTACGACAAACCGGCTTTCAAACGGTGCTGGTGAGCTGCTCGGCGCGGGAGACTGAAGCCGTGTCGGATGCCTCTCCTCTAAATTGAATCTCATTTGAAGGGAGGATTTTGTGCGTTCGCTAGGGGGCGCCCATATACTGCGGTTGGTGCTTAGTTGCCTGTGTGCCTCTGTGCTCGGACAATGCATGCTGCTACTGGCTGTTACGTCTCTCTTTCGACTGCATAGGTTCATCTTTCGGACTCGGTCAACTTTTACCCACTCCTGGTCCGTTCTCTGGCCCCGGGGCAGTGTTGGAGTCGCCCGGGTCTTGTGCTTTAAATACGCGTCTGAAAATGATTAACCACGCGGGCTTCCATTCTCAAACGGCACTGTACATGACATTAAAGGCATTCCTCCATTCTCGCATTGTCTCCATCACAGACTCCAATTATAGAGGCGCTACATACGAGTAACTCTGGTGTTTATTGGCGACTGGCTTTACTTTCATCTGGAGTGCAAAGCGCGGAGTTCGGCCTCTGACCCCTAATGTCTTTTTTAAGTGCAGCGCCTATTTAAAGTGTATGGCTTAGTTCCACACAAAGCGGTGACTTATGAACTTTTGGCCTGCGTGACCCCAGAACGCAGCCGATATTTGGAGCTGTGAAATGCAGTGGCCAAACCATTCTGTATTTTTTCTTTTATTATTATTATTAAACACTGACTTGAATATAGCCTGTCTTTTATGCGTTCTTGGGTTGAGCGCGCGTAACGAAAGCGCACAGATTCACCGAGGAGGCTTTATTGTCATATATAATGTCATATACTGTACCATACATTTCATACATTTTGTACAAGTTGCATAAGCGTGATTAAAGTGTTATATTTGCCTGGGTTATGGTTTTATTTTCATTTTTCACACGTGTCTGTGCGTAATGTCTATGAATAGGTTTATGGTTTAATTAATTTGATTGAATATAATTTTGGGTTAAATGTGATGATAATAGCTGATGAATATAATTTCAGCATGTGTAAAATGTCCGGGCTGGTTTATTGTGTGACAAAGAGACGCTGTTATTGCGCTCCCGCAGTCGGCACGGTGCGTTATGGCGCATGAGAGTAAAGTATTGGATATTTTTTACAAGCTGAAATTGCAAAGGCTTTATCGGGCGTGCATGTGAGTAAAACCTATAGTCTGACAGGCTGAAGAATTCCCGTCCCTGAATCCGTCTCGTTTTAGGACCAAGCGGCCTCTCGACCTCCATGCTGGCTCTGGCACAGTACCAAGTAGCACAAGTGCCGAGTAGCCAATGGGGTTGAGGGGGAGGTCCCTGAGCTCTGACCAGTCAAACACACTCTGCTTCCTTATATGGCAGCGCGTCTCCATGGAAACGTGTGCTAAGTTGCAGCAGTCGTGTCAAAGTTCACTATATAGAGAGCTCAGTGAGCTGATCAGAGAGAAAGCATTCTGCCAGCCCGGCTCCTACCAATCGCAAATCACTTCCTAACCTCCGCCTTTTTAACATATTTGATCACTTTGATTCTCCACTCCTTTTCCGAGTCTTTTCCGCGCACGGAGGAGCTTTGTAGGTTGTGATCTTTGTGTTTTTATTTTTTGTTTTTGGCTTTTTGGGAGACGAGTTGTCTTCGTATTTCAGCCTCTCAAACATTGGCTTGAGCGGCGCTGCTGGCGCTACCTCACAGGAAGAAAAGGAAGAAGACGCACATTTTTACGCAGTTGGTGATTTTCTTGGAGACTTGAGTTGGAACTTGATAGTAGCGCTCCCATTTGTTTTATGGTGCTCGAGGCGCGCGCTCCTGCTCATCCTGTGAAGTGTCCATGCTGTACCCGGGCGCCTGTCTCAGCTCTGAGCGAACCTTCGCACTGATGGGTGGATGGCTCACTGCACGCGCCCCTGGACTTGGCCTTTAAGCGCAGGGCAGCGGCTCGGCTCGCCATCGCATCACTTTTGAAAGCCTGCTTCGCTGCGCCTCCAACAGCCACAAGCCGTCAGTTTTCGGAGTGGATCCATCGTAGGCTTGGACTGACATTTGGTGCGAATCCCAGTTTATCGCGTTTCCCTGAGACACCCTCCACCGCAACAGCAAAACGGCAGACAAAAAGTTTCTTTCCGTTGACTGATAGATATGGCAATGGTAGTGTGGAGAGGCTCCCAGGACGATGTGGCTGACACCCAAGGCGCCCTTTCCTCGCAGACTCAAGGCGGACTATCCCTACCCACACCCGGGGCAGGCCAGCTGAGCCTGACCGCCTCTCAGGTCGCCCCTCCGACCCCGCAGACTCCAGTGCAGGGGCCGAACTCGCAGTCCACGCCGTCGAACCAGTCCTCGCAGCAGTCGGACAAGCAGCCGCAGCACATCGAGTGCGTGGTGTGCGGGGACAAATCCAGCGGGAAGCACTATGGCCAGTTCACGTGCGAGGGCTGCAAAAGCTTCTTCAAACGGAGCGTACGACGGAACCTCACCTACACATGCCGTGCCAACAGGAATTGTCCAATCGACCAACACCACCGCAATCAGTGTCAGTACTGCCGCCTCAAAAAATGCCTTAAAGTCGGCATGAGACGGGAAGGTATTGGGACTTTTTATTTCTCTGATAATACGTGTGATTGTGCTGTGAAACAAAGCGTGAATGTCGCCCCAGTGCTGCCCGCTCTCCCTGCACTCTAAGCGGATAGTGCAGGCAGTGTAGCCGCGTTGAGCTGCTCCAGACTGGGGCTCGTCTATTGTATTCCACTACACAGTCCTGCGCTCTGCTTTCACCAAATAATACCCCTTCAGCGGTCAGACCAGGGCACCCGAATTATATTTAGCCGTAGCATGAACGCGGATAGACCTATGTGCAGTGAATAGATGATACAATATAACCTCCTGCGCTATTATGGCGAGTGGCGAATTAAGAGATAGCGTGCTGTGGCTACATCCATCTAGCCTCCTCCTCCGTGCAGGCAGCAGGCAGGCAGCGGACCCGGGGCTCGTATTGTGCACGCCGAGCCTCCGCGCAAGTGCCCAACTATTGATCCAGATATCAGTCCGAAATAGACGTAAAGTAAAACGAGCTGAATTGCTAAGTAGGTTAAGGGTTAAACATTCACGGGCTGCCTGGCTCCTTTGTGCGCCCTCACAGCCAGCTCATGTTGCTGTCTGAAGAACATCATTTTAAAGCTACACATGAGCCCGGCTGGTTCCAAATAGGTTTAAATAAGCGTCAGGAGTGAGAATAAACGTGGGGAGTGGGGTTAGCACGTCCCTATTGTCCTTATATTGTCTTTATTGGAACTATAATACAATAATAATAATGTGTGTGTGTGTGAGAGAGAGTGTGTGTGTGTATGTGTGTGGGAGTGTGTGTGTGAGTGTGTGTATGTGTTGTTGCTACATGCTACGTGCCATCATGATTGATAGGCCTGTACTTTGTGATGTATTTGACATATTTTTGGTGATCAATATTTTATTTGATTTTTAGTAGTCATGGGTGGAAGGGTTTCATTTGGCATACTGTAAATACACATTTGATTTGATACACACTAAGTGCATATATGTACGTGGAGGAAGCATTTTACCACTATCACCCACCACCCCTTCCCACCCCAAATCCGTTGTTTTTGACATTTGAGTTTGACTTGTAGAATTCAGGCTTCAATATCTGTAGTTTCTCTTTTTACTGCAGCCGTGCAAAGGGGACGGGTGCCACCCACGCAGCCCCACCACGGCCAGTTCGCCCTGACCAACGGGGACCCGCTGCACTGCCATTCCTACCTATCCGGATATATCTCCCTTCTGCTGCGCGCGGAGCCCTACCCAACGTCCCGCTACGGCAGCCAGTGCATGCAGCCCAACAACATCATGGGCATCGAGAACATTTGCGAACTGGCGGCGCGGATGCTGTTCAGCGCCGTGGAGTGGGCCCGGAATATCCCGTTCTTCCCGGACCTGCAGATCACAGACCAGGTGGCGCTGCTGAGGCTGACGTGGAGCGAGTTATTTGTGCTGAACGCGGCACAGTGCTCCATGCCGCTGCACGTGGCCCCCCTGCTGGCGGCGGCCGGCCTCCACGCCTCGCCCATGTCTGCGGACAGAGTGGTGGCCTTTATGGATCACATACGCATCTTCCAGGAGCAGGTGGAGAAGCTCAAAGCGCTACACGTGGACTCCGCGGAGTACAGCTGCCTAAAAGCGATCGTCCTCTTCACTACAGGTAAGAGACAGCGGGCTGGACTAGACCGTGTCCATTCTGTCTACGTCTGCATATGTCACACCACACACCCCCTGGCATCCCACGTTGACCTAAATCTCCAGCCCTAGATGTTGCCTCGTCCTGGGATAGTCTTCACCCACTCTCCTCGGGCCTCCTCAGGCGAGCAAATAAATAAAAACACATGGTTAATCAAGCGCATTACGCACACACACATATACACACACACCCACACACACATATGGGGCTATACTAAAAATGGTGCCGTGATCACACAACAGATATTTCAATTCTCCCCATCACAACAACGTGCACCATTTTCCCAACAATACAAATCTAAGACTACAGTGATAACTCCACGCTTTACGCACGTTAAAAGCCCCAATAGCTCTCAGACGAATTGCTACACTTTGATTCCCCTCGCCATTTATCAGCGTGCGTATACGGCACGTCTTGTTTGGAGCCAGTGACAGATATAAATGATACGAGGCTGCGCGGGGGGAGGGGAGCAGGCGCGGAAAGACAAGCCTAATGTCCCATTTGCACATAGTAAAAGCCGGGCAGGTTACTTCGTTCGCCCCTCTGTCGTTGGACGGGCATTAGTGGCAGACGTGTCCCGGGATGTGGTGTGCGCGCTTGGGGGAAGGCTCCAGTCGTCTCCGGGCCTGCTCCAGAACTAGGTCATGACCCGAACTTTGCAACACTAGAGTGACCTTAGCTGCGTGGCCTTAAAACGGGAGATAAAATAAACGCGTGGAGGAGATTTACAAGCGTTTAAAGCATGTGCCAACCAGGAATGTCAAGGAAAAGTGGAATCGACTGGAATTCCCTATATTAATCTTGATTGGAGGAGTTCTGACAAGCGCAGATGTAGTGTGTCTGCTTCATTTGATTTATTTAAGATATTTAAGATAATGATTTCGAATTTGTTCATGGTAATTTGTCTGCCAATGAGATAAGATTTTCAAGTCATATTTAAGTGCGTTTTTACCCAAAATGGCTGACAATTATGCTTGAAAAAACAAACACTGAAACCAGTCAATAATAGCCTGAATATCCTGCCAAATAAGTAGGCCTGAATAAATAAACGTAGACTAGTCACTGTTACTCAAATCTAAATTATTATTCAGAATTGGCGTTGTGTTCACAGTGCGTAATGCTCACGTACCCGCCAGCACTAGATACGTGGTTCATTCACCCCCAGAACGCTCCATTGTCTCATACCGGGGACTAGTCTGTGATGTGACCCGTGCAAAGGCCACTGCCAGGCGGGTCTCGAACTTCGCTCACACTCCTAACTCCTCTGACACTTCGGAGCTGCAATGGGTGCCTTAAACTTTACCAAACTTAACCAGCGCGTGTATGAGGGTGTTCGTTTTTGGCACCGGATCAGCTGCCACCCCCGCACAGCCGACGTGCACGCCTCGATTATGCGCCTCTGATGGTGTACTATGACGACTAGCTCCTACGGCTTCAGGGTGGATTTTTTTCCCAGCTAAATCTCTGCTCAAGAAAGGTCATAAGGTCTCGGAGTGTGCCCCCTGCTCCTCTCCCTTCTCTCTTCTTCTTCCTCCTCTCCTCTCCCTCGCTCCTCATTCCCCACACCAAAACACACCTCTCAGCTATGAATATGCTCAATTATTTAGCCGAAGCTTTTGAAGTGGCACCGAGCACATGAACACGCGCGTTATTACGGCCATAAAACGTCAGCCACGATTTGGAACGTAGCCACAGCGTCCTTTTGAATGTTACGCCTGGTCATAATTGCCAGAAAACGCCGCGTAAATGGTAACTAGGCTTTATTTCCAACGTGATTATTTGTTTTGACAATGAACTGGAGGCGTCGCGATAAATCATGGCCACAAACGCTCCTCTGAGAATTATATTTAACATTTATGGTCTATTTAGTTTTCTGGAAGAGCTGAGACAAAGTGTATTTAAACATATGCGTGCGTACTCCGGATAGAACGCTTAATAGTCGCAATTGAATCACTCAGGACGTTAGAGGAACCTTATAATAGTCAAATTAATCTTGATGGGAATAAAAGGGTATCGTTTGGAGACGTGTATTTGTCTTCGGCTGCGCGGTGACAGCTCATCAGTCGCGGGAGAATTAGCGAGCGGGGAAAGGGAAACCTACGGAGCGCTTACGGACACTTTATTAATGTTTATTTGCTTTGCCCCCCTCTCCTCTCCTTTCCTCTGCTCTCCCAGATGCTTGTGGCCTCTCAGATGTGGCCCACGTGGAAAGCTTGCAAGAGAAGTCCCAGTGCGCCCTGGAGGAGTACGTTCGGAGCCAGTACCCCAACCAGCCCACTCGCTTCGGGAAACTCTTACTTCGCCTGCCCTCCCTCCGCACGGTCTCTTCCTCCGTCATAGAACAGTTGTTTTTCGTCCGATTGGTAGGTAAAACCCCCATTGAAACTCTCATCAGGGATATGCTGCTATCCGGGAGTAGTTTTAACTGGCCTTACATGTCCATTCAGTAAGAAGAGACCAAGGGACAAAAAACGGTGGCGCGGAGGGGAGGGGAGGGGGGGCACGATTCTAGCTGCTTTGTGGAAGGAATTAAAAAAAAGCAAACCGACTGTTTTCTCTCAATGAAGAAAGACACTAAACGACTGTGAATTCCCGTCCCCTCCCCTGCTATCCCCCCAAAAACTGAACTTTTGAAAAATGGCGAGCCCCAAATGTTGAAGTGGTCGCACCTCCTTTTTTTAATGCAAGAAGAAAACGGGATTTTTTTTTTTTTTTTTTCGTCCTTATGAGGAAAATTGAAGTATTAATAAGTGCATTTAAAATAATTGGACTAAAAATGGGAAAAAAATAGCGAAAGGGATTAATATGGCGTTTTCTCAGATGACTTCTTGTCCTGTGTTCATGTATAGCTGTGTTTTGTACTTTCTTTGTCGCTCCTCCCTGGTTCCAATCCGTGATTTCTGTAGTACATATGGTGTTATTTTGAACAAGGTGGAAATAATGTTTGAAAATGTTCTAAAAAGAATTAAAAACCCACAGCAATAGGACTTGTTTTTAGGTTTAGATGCTCAAGGCTGCAATGCGCACTTACGTTCAACACATGACCCAACGTAGATTCATTTCTATCAACACATTACAGGGTTTAGCTGCATTTTGAATTTTATTCAGAATAATTTGCTAAGTTAGTCTTCCCTTTTCAAAATATTGCAAATTGGTTTATCAACAAAAATGCGCTACAAGTTGTTGGTAACGCGTGCGTAATGCGTAAACGTAGGAGATGCACGTCAAAATGCACTGACTTTACATTCTGGATCAAACATAACAGTGGTAATAATATTGATAGGGCATAAGGAGAGGTCAAAGGGTCACGGGAGTTGGAGTCTGAGTAGTGTGTAATGGCAGTATTAACCCGGTATTGTCCCGGAACAGTCAGCCTTCATTCTCCTGCAGCATAAGTGCCTGGCGGAGTGATTTACCCAAACCTCGGGAAAGTGGGCCGGAACATTTAGGGGCAAATTGAAACTTCAAGTGGCGTATTTCACTTGGAACAACTCAGATTTCGAGGCAGTATTTCTTGTAAATATAGGTCAATTCATTTCGGTTTTTCATTTCTACAAAAGTATATGTGATTAAGAAGAATTCTGTGGTTGCCATTTTGTTTCTCTCGGTCTTCAAATTGAGTGGCAGACTTAGCTAGTAGCACTGAAACTTCTGTTTGTAATGTATATACATAATACGACAAATGTTTTCTTTTTCATGTATATCAGACTGTGAACGCATGGCCCTATTTTACCTTTGATATATAAATGTAAATGTTTTCCTTCTCTTTTTTGGGACTGTATAGATATAATCTGTGCATTCAGTACACTAGCCCATGTATTTAAGCAACAAAAAGAAGCAGGCGATGTTCATTGTTCGCTCAGACGTAAACAGGGTGAGCAGGTTTGGATGAAGGAGTTTAGTGTCATTGCTCCTTTGGTCTGGGACAGGTGCCGTGGTCGCGTGCATGTGTGCGTGCGTGTGTGCGTGAGCGTGTTGCGTGGATGTGCGCGTGAGTGTGTGCGCTTTTGTCCTTGTTTGGGGCTTTTCCTCCCCGTGCACACGCAGAGACCCCCGTGTGTCGGACTCAAACGACTGAACAGTGGACCACAGAATGAACCATGATTGTAATTATGAACAGTTTCAACTGACCCACCTTTTTATATAAATATATAAAATATATGACTGCAGGGTATTGATAACGTATAGATACTTTTTTTATTGATTATTATTATTATTAATATTATTATTATTATTAATTGCAAGTGATATATGTGAGTGTGTGTGAAAGTTTATAGTTCAACACAATTCTTGTTTGTTTGTGTTAGCTTATTGTAAACAAGCATTCTGCTGTAAATTTGTTCTTGGTATTAAATTATAATTTATGAATTTGAACCAGACGCTTTTCCATGTTTTGTTTTTATTTACTTGTTTTGCTGTTCCCTGTGAACTTGACTTGTCCCACGTGTGCGTGCGTCCGCGTGCGTGTGCGTACAGAAGGTGGGACAGAGGCTCTGGAGTCAATTTGCTGTGGCAGGATGGTGCCCTTTGAACTCTCAAAGTGATTAATGAATTACCAAATCATTTATCAGGAAAGCGAGCAGTGCGCATGACGCGCTCAAGGTTACGGCATTTTCCTGTTTTTAACCGTTTATCACCTTTGGGGAATGTCTTTAGACACTGAAATGTAGACGCACGTTTGGACCATGTTCAGATGGTATGGGCCTGTTTGACCGTATTTCCCGTTCACGTGTGAGTACAGAGCTCTGTGCGCGGGGTCAGAGGACACGACCCCCTTCTGAGCCATGCCCCTCAATAATTCATTAATTGAAAATTATATGTTAATATATGATGTATAAAACACTCACATGCAAATGAGTAGAGCCTTTTAATTGGCCTGTAACGTTTTAGCAATGACGTTTTATTTCATATTTATAGTCTTTATGTGAAATCTCCTTTATCATGAGTCTAAACCATTGCAGAATATTGAACAAATACAAATAAAAATCATATATTTTCGAGAGAGCATTTGTAATGCCCATTATGGCCTGTTCTGATTGGCTGGCTGGCTCATTGTCATAGTGAATATGTATTTTGGGCTATTGTTCCCACCAAACCGCAGAGTAATTTGAGCTAAACATTAATTGGGAGTCTATTTTTATACGTCTGTCTCTTTTATTGATTTTCCGCGTCACACCTGCAGCTGTCAGACGCACGAGCACACACAACGTCCCAGAGTCATGTGATCCATACCAGTCCATTCTCCCACATCAAACACCCCCACGTTACAAGTACCATTTCTCTGTACAAGCTCGGAGCTGTGGTTATCTTTGGTGACGCACTTCAACTTTTAAACCAGGAAGTGCCCGTGATTGGTCGCTGCTAACCACTGATTATTTGCGCGTGCTATTGTGACGCCGCGGACCTTTGGCCTCGCTGTAATTACGTTCGGCTCCAGTTGAGATTGGGAGTATCAGGGCCGGCCAGAGGAGCTGAAAGAGCGGCTTAATCAGCGCGTTTCTCCGCCTAAACCGCGCGCAGCTCCCCGTGTTGTGGCTAGACTCCACCGCCTCTGATTCTCCCTGATGAAAATGATGATTATGATGCTAGCCCGATGCGCTTTTATCTGCCCACTGAAAGCACTCTTTATCCCGGCTGTGCGTGGTGCTTTCATGGCCTGTCCGGGCAAACTGTCTCGGAGGTATGCCGCCGTGTGACGTGATAATACGACCCGGTGGTGGTGGGTTAGGTAGCGTTGACCTGACCCCTCGCCTCTGTGCTGCTGCTGCTGCTGTTGCTGCTGCTGCTGGCGGGGTAGGGGCCGCACTCAGCTCTGGGTGGAGGGCTTGGATGAGCGCGCTGGCTGGCTGGCTGGCATGACGCGGGGTTGATTCCATGTGACAGCGCGGAGACTCCATAATGTACACTTTATTAGGATCGTACCGCGCGGTAATGAGGCGGAACTCAGCGGAACGCCACTTTTATTTACGTGCGTGTCAAACTTCGTGACACGGGCTGACTTGAAAAGATCCAGTCAGACTCGCCCCTATAGACCACTAGTGCTGCTGCTGGGGGTCTATTTGTTTAATAAGATAAAGATATGGTTTGCGATGTCTGCTTAAGCGCACACTGGAGGGTCGTGGACGCGCGCAGACACACACAGACACACACACAGACACACACACGCATAATAAATTCACATGCGCGCGGCTAAGCGACAAATATGCGCGTGATTTGCACCTTGGCACTATCACTATGACAAATTAGAGCGTGGATAGGCGCTTCATTGCATGTGTGTAGGATGAGGCAGCGCAGTCCATTTACAACGTGGGGGAACGAGTCAAACGCTACAGGGCATCTGGTTTAATGCAGTGAGACTATATTATTATTATTATTATTATTATTATTATTATTATTATTATTATTATTATTACACTGATTGAATTAGTCTTATTGACCAATTTATAATTACACTTTAAATTGTCTTAATAAAGCATGAAGAAAGACTAATTCATATGTAATACACTGTTTATTAAGCATGATTTAGGCTTAGTAACTTGTTAATTAATACTCTAAATCCTAACTCCTTAATTAAGTAGTTATAATAGTTACTAAACCTTAATCAATCTTAATTAACAATTTGTTCATTATTAATTAAGTCTTTGTTGATGTTTTATTACGTGTAATTAAAGTGTAGGTATTATGGCTTATTTTATAAAATTGCATATCCTACCTTTACTGTTACATGCAATAATTTGGAGACTTTTCCCATTTAAAAAAATACATAATATGCTGTTTAAATTGTTTATCACAATGGCAACGCTCCTAATTTCCCAGTTTAAACCCATAGTTGCTATTATTGTTATATTTTATTGTTTCCCTTGGATCTTTAATCCTCAACATTCCCCTTTCTGTCTCCACCTCGCCTCAGCCTAAGCCCATATATGTAGTAGAATTGTGCCATCTACCCGCGGCGCACGGAACTGTCGCCTCTCCGGGAGCTGCTGTCAGACCCGGGCTCGCTTCACACACAAAAGACCGCGAGAGACTGAACCACGCACGCCCCCCACGCACACGCACGCTCACACGCACGCCTTTTACGCACAGACTCGGCCACGCGCAGCAGCTGCCGGCCTCCCAAACTTCACAGGCAGAGCGCGTTTGGAGCACCTGTCGCGAGCCCTGATGCCCACTCCACCGTGCGTGCCCGCGCTCCGCCGCTGTCTGCCGCTGAGTGCGCGTGGGTGGCGTGTAAAAATAATATAGCATGGGTGGAAAACTTGCGTGACCCCTGGTTGTAGCTCCCTTTGGTCGCAACACCGCGCTCCTCTGTAGAAATGAATATATGCGAGTTATTAATACAAGAGACACATATTTGGGCTGCGCTTTGAGTCCACGTGGCGTATTAAAGCTGTCTGATCAATGGAGGCTGGAGTTATTTAAGCGCCGTTTGAACGCTGCATTAAAGTGGCAGGCAGAGGACCGTCGCTTTAACGTGCGGGGTGGGAGAAATTGAGAAGAAAATGAGCGAGGAGAGACGAACCAATCAACACCCGCGTGGCAAAGTTCAGGCGCGCTTTGTGCCATGGAAACGGGCCGCTTTAAAGCCCCGGGTGTAGTCTAGTGTGAAGGAGGGAGGAGAGAGGAGAGAGGCAGGAGATTTCTCATATTTAAATGAATACAAGCCCGCTCTGTAGCCGTAGAGTAAACAGGGCTGGGCAGAGGAGCCAAAATTGTAGTCAAGTAGGAGTAATGTTACTTCACAATAATGTACAATGTAGTCATGAAATTACTCAAGGAAGTGTAAAAATGTATCTGGGGAAACTACTACTTAAGTAAGATTAACTGTCAGGACGTGAATGTAATTTGAAGGACAAAACGCTGAAGAATGGACAAAAGCTGGTGTTTTCAAAGGACAGACACAAAAATGAGACCAACTAAATCGTCATAAATCAGGAGCGGTGCAAGAAACACAAACGTTCAAATCATTTCATATTCTAAACTTCAAGCTTTTGTCAACTTACTTACACAGAGTGACCAAAACTTGTACTTAAGTAAAGATACTGAAACAATTACTGTCTTAGTAACGTTACTCGAGTAAATGTAACAGCGTAGGACCCGCCTCTCAAAGTAAATAGCAGAGTGTTGTGAATGCTGTCACGTTGAGTAGCGAAAACGTGCTCACATCAAACCGTTGTTGTGACTGCTCTTAAAGCGCACAGATCAGAGCCAGGGATCACGGGAGGTCCGTTCGGCCGCGGGGAGACTGCTTAGCCCGGCGTTTCTCAAACTGTGGTGCACACTGTGGTCCCTGTGCAATTTGGAGTATATGTTTTTAAGGACAAATATTTATGTTTTTGCCGTCTTTTGGTTTCAGCATTATTTGAACTTTAGCTATGGTTTAGACATAATTTTAGACATAATTCAATCACTATCCAGTCCTGAAATAGTCTGGTGGTACTCGGAAAACCAAATCTGATCTTGGATTGTACAAACATTTTAGAGCTATGGCTTAACCGGGCGCAGATCAGCGCACAGAGCCGCCCGGAGCCCTGGCGTTCTATTTCATCTCTTTATATAGGTATTAATCCGCGAGGACCTACTACATCTCCTATCGATCACTTGACGCTAGAAGGGGGGCAAGCTTTATTAGGCTCGCCCATTAGGTGCACACCGCAGTCTCGTGAGTCTCCCAGGGGTGCTTCCGTGGTGCCGGGGCGCGTGAAGTGCACCCGGGGCCAGAGTGTGACTACATGTCTGCTTTTACGCGCACTTAAAAGGCCGTGCGTAAAAGGCCACCGTGGCGCGTATCGATGCGTAAATAATAAAGCGGATCAGTATACGGGATATGATGACGTGAAATGATAACAGGCCGCCAGTTGGCAAAATTGTACTACAGTATGAGAGACTGTAAAGTACAATAAAAGTAGTTATAATTCAATTAACAATACAATTATATTCGTTAGACTAGAGTGCACATGATCACTATGTTAAGTCTTAACCCAGTACTGCTCAAACCGTGGTACACAATGGTTTTAGACACAAATGTATTCATGTTTTTTGCACTTTTTTGGGTTAAATATTATTTGAACTACGTTATCCACGGTTTAGACTCGTTTTAGACCAGGTTTAATTGAATTTTAATTTTTAGACCAATTTCAGCCATAATCAGTCTTGATAAAGTCCAAGTTTACACGTGATTTAATGACGTGAAATAGCTGTATACTTTAGTTGCCAAAATTGCTACAGTATGAGAGCCTTAAAAACGTTCTTACTC